GAGAGAGAGAGAGAGAGAGAGAGAGAGAGAAAGGTAAAGGCGAAAGATTCCAGCGAGTAGCGACAGCGAGACAGTCTTTGCGGGAGCCGCCTTCGAACGCTCCCACGTACAGTACAGCTATTAAATCTTAACCAGTTAATATCGAAGAGCAATTGTACAAATATTGTTAGAAAGATAGGTTATAAAAAAATATTCGTAAAAAATACAACAATGAATTGATGAACGTATTTAAATGAGGAGAATTTCGTGTATCATTGGCAATGTTTGTCGCGAAAAATGAAATGAAATCAAACACGCGTCATCCGGTGATCGACACGATGATTTGACACGATTTAAACTACGAGGATATAAGGACATCGCAAGGAACTTACAGGTGAGATTGTTCGACTACTGAATGCGCAATCGATCGCGTAGGATAATCGCGACACAGCAAAATTTATTCATCATTTATGCACATTCTGGCACGAATGTCAAAACAAGCATCAAACCGATTAGATCCGATGGTGTTGAGCGACATCGGTTTGTTCGGTGACGTATAAAAAAAGGAACGTCACTTGTGGCTTAAAAAGGAAAAAGGAAAACGGAAATGTGCGCCGAGTCGCATCGAATCGAATTAATCAAATTTAACGCGAGGAAGCGGATATTTCAAGCTTGAAATCACAGATAACGAATTGAAATCCTGTATCTTTGTATAACACAGACTCCTCGTTAATTATTTCTAATTACGCTTTATCTAATCATATTTCCTGGTTGGTATTTCAGTAGAAACGATGAAACTTTGCTACATATTGCTAGGATTGGTTCGAGATCGAAACTGATAATAGAGATATTTTATTGTTTGGAAAATCAAAGATCTCGTATAGAGAAAAGAATTGATTAAACGAGCAAGTTGCGATGGGCCTCAACACCGAGTTTACTGCTATACTTCGAGGTAAATGAAATATCGCGCATTTACATTTTTATTGTCGGAAAACACTATACGTGACAAGCAATTTGTTACGTTTCAATTAATGTCAATCGATGCGGAAGTCTGTATTTCTTCGTTATAGATGTAATGCAATTTTTGGAATGCCTCCGCGAAGTGAAGCTTCCAACTAGATTGGAGAGCATCCGGGACGATTTATTGATACGTTCGAAGGATACACTAACGATGTTCATGGTAGAAAGAATCGGACCATCGATTTCTCCGGAACCGTATTTGAATATGAACGCGGCTGGATCGAAAGGTTTGATGACAACATTAAAAACGGAAGCCGAATTACAAGAATATGTAGGCGCAGAAGAACACCATCCAATACAAAAACAACCACAACAGCAAGATTATTATGAGACCTTCCAGGGAGTCGAATCAACGAACAATGTCACGCCCACGATTTATGAAACAGACGATAATGTTCAAACTAAAGAAGAAGAAATTGAAAATAAGCTGATAGATATTTACGCGTGTTTCTCGGCAGCGCAGACTAAAACTAAGTGTCAAATATGTGGCCCCCTTTATAGGAAGGAAGGTAAAAGATTATTCGTTTTCGAACAATGCCGAGCATGCTGGGTTGGTAAGTTCAATTGATTGATCGATGTCAATGCGATCAGTAATTCCACGTAATGTCCTATGGATAACGGAATAATTTTCTTACAAATACAGGTTTGATTGGATCGCATTTATTAATTTACGGAAATGATCGAGACAGTCGTCCATGCACAATTTTGCCACTTCAGGGTTACATGGCACGAGCTGCACCAAATGCAGTTCCTCGAGATCAACGTCGAAGTGAATCTACTTTTGAAATTTTTCGTCCTGGTAGTAAAACATTCCAGGTGAAAGATAATCTGTATAATCTTCTATGAAATATATCATAGATGCGTAGAAGAGAAAAATAGGTAAAAAGAATTGTGACAAATAAAAATGAAAAGTTGTTCAACGTTGTTTCAGTTTTCTGCGAAAACTCCAAAAGACATGGAACAATGGGTATCGAAAATTTGTAATTTATGTGGCGAAAAGAAGAATGATTGCAAAGAATTCACAAAAGAAATGGATAACGTTGTTGCCACCAGTACTACTAAGCAAACAAATGATCAAGAAGACTCGATTTCCAAAGAAGAACGATATCAAGATGTAAGAATGCTAGGTGGCGATGATTTTTCCAATAAACTTTCAATCGTTCCAAACATTATCAATGAGGACACTGAAAGGAAAGCAGATGATTCTCCCGCAAAGGATACATCCTGCGAAATTGCTGATACCTCTCTCCCTTATCCTTCTATTGTCCTTTTCGAGACTGTTACTGTTTCTTCTCAATCACATTCTCCACTTCCACCTCCGTTACCAGCTCGAATCCCCCGAAGACTACTAACCCTACCTGCTCAATCTCCGTCTTACCAATTCCCTGATGACGAAGAAGATGGTATTTATCATAAGATAGAAGATTTTAAGGAAACGATACAATATGGAAATGTCGATAAAACATTTCGAGTTAAGATGAGTAATAATCAATCGAGCAGCGAATCTGTAACTTACGATGATATTCGAACGAGTATGAAAACTGAACATAAATGGGATGAGAAGAGAACAAATTTTGAAACTCTTGCCAGAAATTCGATTGATTCGCGAAACGCATTAACGTATGATGATACAGCTAATTCCATGTTAAAAGATAATAAAATTACCGATGAGCAAAACAAATTTGTATCGTACGACGATATCGAGGTGACTCTCTGCCCATATTCTCTCTCTCTCTCTCTCTCTCTCTCTCTCTCTCTCTCTCTCTGTGCGTGCGTGTATGTCTTTTTCTTCGACTATTCAACCATCTATCCGTTGATCTATCTGTTGTGTCATTTGATGCTTGATTTTATACATTTCATTTATTCCTTTTTTACAGAGTATAGCGTCAAATTTAAAATCAGCCAAGATTCGACTAATGGATAAAACGGATGAATCGGCAAAGTCACCACAAAAGAAATCCTTTCTACAAAGAGTAAGAAGCAAGAAGGAATCTCCAAAAAAAATTGAGAAAAAAGCTAATTGTAAAATTCTGAATTCACCATTGCAACAGTCATCATCATCATTATCGACATCTGTAAATAATGAGAAACTACCGATTTATTATGACGACGTATCTGATCTAATGAATGTCCAGCAGGAAACGATTCGTTTAGAGGAAGAACAATCAGATTACACTTGTCCACCTCCACCTAGACCGATATACGCAAAACCACCGTTAGTAAATGAAGTAATCGATACGGAAGAATTTTATGATGACATCACATATCGAGATAAATATAAGGATGACCGTGAAATATCTACTAAGTTATATTCAGTAAGAACCGCACATCTCTTAACGTTTACATCTTTCTTCCTATCTTTTCTTTTTTTCCTTTATTTTTTTTTTCCTTAACGAACTGTTTAATTTACCACGATTACATTATTTTTACCGTGAATTCAATCAAGTTACAGAAAATTACAAGGAAACCAAATATTTCCTGTGAAAACACGAATGATACACAACAATCATTTGAGGATAATATAGAGCATTATAAAACACCGCGTCTTGAATCACGTTATCCTAAGTACCTTCACAATGATCAACAAGTAGACGATCTATATGACGACATTGCTATACTTGCGGAATTTACGGCGCGACAAAAGGAAGTTTTAAATAACAAGGATAACGAAGGTATAACAAGGTCACAACTCAGCCCGGAAAAGAGGTCATGGAACCGATTTGTTGGTGGAAAAAAATCGAAAACGATTGATCCAACTGTTAATGAAACGAACAATCGAATCTTGAATGGAACGGAAGATGTGTTGGATGACATTGGTGAACAACATAGTTCGTTACGAATGAATACTTTTCAAAAACTGATTAGTAGAATGGAGAATTCTCTTAGTAAAGCATCTGCAAGAACAGCATCATCGATGTTGTTAAATAAAATGAATCTCCAAACTAACAATGTATGAATCTCGCCAGCAAGCTGAAAGAATTGCATATTCGTCCGATTTAAAATAACGTTTGAACGACTAGATATAAACCAAAGAAGTAGCATGATACATTTTAATACAACATTTTTGTTAATAAGAAACATTTATTTTTTAAAATAAATAATATTCTTTGATTCACATATGTAATTCTAATATGGTGTACCTCAAATATTCGATTCGAACGAAATTTCAATATTTATTATTTGCTAGTTTTGCGTGTTACATATCAAAAGGGATGGTTTTTCCCAATAAATTTGATCATATCACCGAAATTAGTATACTTAAGAATCTTATACTTTGTAATATTCATAAAATGTTTATTTCTTTACTGGAATGTCTGACTCTGTTTTAAAATTTTTCTCGTAAGCATAGTACAAATCACCATAAATATTAATTACAACTTGCATAAAAGAATAGAGTAAATTAACACCATATTTCTGGAATGCCTTTAAACGTATACCTGTATTAGCTTCTATATAATCTATAAACAACTCTGTACGTTTTGAGTATAATGGAAGAATCACAATCATCGGTATAAATGTTAAACCAAAAAGAAACAGCCATGATATCATGGATATAAAATATCGACATAGATTTTCTGAAATATCAATCAAAATATTATAATTTTGTTTAACTAAATTATTGCATTAGAATGTACAGTGAGAAAATTACTTTGTACAACAGGTCTCGATATATTACCTTTAACTTCGTGATCTTTATTGGCTTGAATTTTATCCTGTGTTACTGTTTCAGCTTTTACTTTACTTTCACCCACTTGTGATACTTTAACAGAAAGATTTGATCCATTTTCATCAAAATTTTGTTTGTTATTTTTATCTAGTAGTTTTTTCTTTTTCTTTTTCACCACTTTTTTTGTTAATACATTATCTGTTTCTGTATCTACTAGAAATGAAAACATTACTAATATGTAACATATAAAAATTACTTAGAAACTCATATATTTCATTCTCTAGTATTACCTGTAATGGCATTTAATCTACGTAATTTTTCTTCTTCGATAACAAGCTTTATACGTGATAAGTAAGTTACGATATTGCGAGCACAAGTTTGACATTCACTTAAATTACTACAAGGACCAGCTACGCTAGCTACAGCAGAAGTTAAAGGATTTTCCTTTAAATCTAGCCACTTTAAATTTTTCAATTCACTTAAACTAAGTGGTAATCTGCTTATCTGCAAAATTATTCTGCCATTATTCGTGTGACTTAAATTTACATCAAAAGTTTCTAATACATAATCCCATTTACTTGATTTGCATAAAGATCCAAATATTTCAACTGTCTCAATTCTCCAAAATTTTCTGGAATTTCTGTCAACATATTTCTACTAAGATCTAGTTTAACTATCTGCTTAATATCGATAAAAGTACTCTGAAATAGATTATTTATAATAAAAAAATATGTCACGAAAGTGGAAGTAATAAAGCAGCAAAGACTTACAGGTAAAGAAGTTAAAAGATTATTTGATAAGTCCAAATGTGTTGCTTTCTTAATAGCCACCTGAAAAATATAAAACATTTAATACAAATTAAATATTGACTAATAACATATTTAATAAATCACAATCTAAATTAAATTAAAAAAATTTCTTTTAAATTAAAATCAAATATAAATTTTTGGACGTACGATTTCTCGTATAGGCACTTCTCTCAGCTCACATAAGCTAAGATCTAATGTTTCGTCCTTTAATCTGTTTTTAACGTTCTTCAAGTTCATTTTGACGGTATAAAAATATTAATCGTATGAAATTGTAAAACACAGAATGAATCCTTTCAATTTATGCTTTTTCGCAATATCACCTTCTGTCAGAGAACATATTGCTTAGAAGGTGGAACGAAAGTAATATCAAATGATAGACTGGTCAAATATTTTTTTATCTTTTAACCGAATGGTATAAAATTTTATAATAATAATGGATAAATTTTTAGCAAATACACGCACGTGGCCAATAAACACCAATACCAAATGATTATGAATATTTGTTTGACAATTTTTGTCTGACAATTTAGCAACTTTTAAAATCATACAACTGTTGGCAGAACTTGATTGGTGATCGCAGTGAATCACGACATGGTATAACGTGACGAGTGTACAAGCTTGCACCAATAGTGATAAGTAGTTCCATACATTTATAGGAGTTATACTTGTATATTTGAGAAAGAAAATTGACAAGTGAGAAAATTAGTTTTAATTTTAAGGTGAATTTGTAGCAGCCGGAGAAACAAAGAAGTTTACTTGAATTTTGTCTTCTGAGAAAATCTACTACTGTTCGAACTGGCTTTACGTTGATTTGGCTACGTCTATATAGAAAATTAATCTCATTTAGAATGTCTACACGGTATATGAAAAAAGTATATGGAGGTGATGTGTTATCCGAAAAGAATAGTGAAAATGAGAATGAGATAGAAAATTCGATAATTGGCAATATTAAATCTAAGAAATTCAACTTCTTCGATGTAGTATGTAATTTAATTTAATGAGTAACTTTCCTTTTATAAACTTTGTTTGTATAATTACTCAGCGTTTAAATGGCATTATGATCAAATTCCTTCCAGATTTCTCGAATGTATAACATTTACTACATTATTTAATATTATTGAATTTATTTTTCTTCTTTTTAGTTGAATCAAAATTCTGAAATTAATGAAGAACAAAATGATGAAGAGAATGTGATGGATGAAAATTGTATTGATGAAGCTAAGCACAAGAAGAAGAAAAAGAAACGGAAGAAATTAGAAGGTTCGAAAATTCAAGTCGTTGAATCTAATAAAGAGGATGTAGATGAAATTGAAAGAACGGTGAGGGAAGTGAATAAATTGCTTGGAGAACCGCTACCGAGTTGTAGCTCTCAAAGCACAGATAATTTACAATGTATTCAACAAAAGTCAAAAGAGGATATTTTGTTGGTGCAACATAAACACTTAAATCCATATAATGAACTTAAAAGAATTTTTGGTAGTAAAACAGTGCAAGCTGAACAAAAGTATGTCATTAATGAAATTTATATTTTATACATAGATGTAAAACCAATGATATAATGAGATCTCATAGTAATATTATAAATGTTTAATTTTAACAGCAATAGAAGAAATAGAGGTCGTTTGGGTCACTTGAAAAAAACTTGGTTAGTTTCAGCTAAAGATAATTGGCCACCAATTAATAAATCTGGTCTTTCAATGTCTTTGGATCACACCATACAGTCTATCAATAATGTTCAATATTTTGTGTATGATCATAATCCATCATATAGACAAGTTCAACTAAAATTTTTGGAAGCTGTTGAGAGTTTAAATCCTGAAAATATTGTTGTATGTTATATTTCAATTTAAATACCATTTGAAAAGAATTATTTGAAAGTAATAAAATTCTTAATGTCTTATTTTAGAATATAATCAATGCACATTCTTATCATGTAGATGCATTGTTGCAATTAGCCGAACTTTGTAAACTCAATGAAGATTTAGCAATGGCTGCAAAATTTACGGAACGAGCCCTGTACTGTCTGGAATGCGCTTTTCATCCACTGTTTAACTTTACAACTGCTCTCTGCAGATTAGATTACAGAAAACAACAAAATCGTGCTTTATTTATAACATTATTTAAACATCTTAATTTTATTGGTGGCCGTGCATGTTACAGGTAAAAAATAAGATTTTAATGGTGTCTTTAATCTTCTTCATCCGTATTTACATTCCAGAACAAGTTTGGAGTTCTGTAAATTACTTCTGTCACTTGATCCAGAAGGTGACCCTTTATCTGTAATTCTCTCTATTGATTTCTATGCTTTAAGAGCAAAAGAATATGAATGGTTTATCGAATTTTGTGATCTTTGGGATAGTGCAAGAAATTTAACACAGCTGCCAAATATAGCCTTCAGTTTAGCTTTGGCCCATTTTCATTTAGGCAACATAATTGTTGCTAATGAATTTTTACAAAATGCTTTAATAATGTTTCCGGGTATACTGATGCCATTGCTAGAAAAATGTAGTATACACTCTGATGAAATGGTATTTTCAAGGAAATATTTTGATAAATGTTTACATAAAATTGAAAAGTCATTATGTAAAAAATGTTTTATAGGTATGGGCCCATGATTTCTTTAACACTAAGGCAATAATCTCAACTTCACCAGCATTGGAAAAGTTACAAAATTTATATGTTATACGTAGTTTCCGTTTGTGGAAAGAAACAGATCTTTTACCATGGCTACAAGAAAATGTACACACTGTTTTAAATCGAGTGGATTCGAAAGATGAATATGTAAAGTATTGTGAAATAAAGCGAAGCAAACGCTATCAAGGAAAATTGCCAAAGAACATTTTAAGGCACATTATATTATCTGACATGAAAGATGTTACTGTGAACGTTCAAGAGGTATTAAGAACTTTTGTATTACAATTTTCAAATTTTTTCATCTATACCACGTTTTTATAAAAATTTTAGTTACAAAATGATGGTTCCGTTCTTTCACATGATCCTCTACCACCTGTGGATAGTATTGATATTTACAAGCGACCTACCACAAATACAGCCACAGCTAGAAATAGTTCTAATCTTTTGTCTCTCTTTTTTTCATCTTTGTTCACGGATATTAATGGTGAAGTTGCAATTGCTGGTCTTGAAGGTTTAAATTTGTTGTGAGTATATAATAATTATAGTAGTAGTAATATTAATAGTAGTAGCAGTAGTGACAACAGCAATAGTGGTAGTAGTTATAATAGTTGTAGCAATAATGATAACAATATTTAAACTAATAAAAGAATAATTATAAGGTATAATATCATGTGAAATTTTTAGCTATGACAACAACGAACAAACATAAGATAGATCATTGATTATAACATACAATAACAAGTCAGGACACAAGAAGTTTACTTTCAACTGAATAATACTAAAATGACGTTGTACATGTAGAGATATTTTTTACACAACAGCTATTTTTATGAAAATAACAAAATTTCGTGCCAGGTAATATATTTAATATATAATAATAAATACTATTAAATTAGAGTGCTTTATTATTATTATCATCATCATCATCATTATCATCATCATCATCATCATCATCATCATCATCATCATCATCATCATCATCATCATCATCATTATTATCGCCTGTATTGTCATTATGTACCAGCGGGTTACATGTACTTGGAATTTGATATATTTGGATTATATTCGTATATTCATATACGATATAAGGTTGCACACATATTTTATTTGTACGATCTTGTACTTCTTGTTATTGTTTGAAGCTTCTGAAGCAATCTTCATATGCCTGGTTGTTTGGAAATTGTAAATACGTACAATTTAAAGAACACACACACGCGCGCTCCCCCCCCCCCCCCCCCACAC